CCATACTACAACAAGAGCATGTGAAGAGTAGTAAAAAATCTAATCTGGCCTGCTTAAAGGTTTTGGGTTCCTCAGGAGTCAGGGGGAAATATAATTGTTGAAGTATTATAAAATGCATATCATAGTAAGATCTGGTGCCCAGAATGTCAGGAAGGCATCATTAGGAGTTTGCCAAATGAAGAGCGAATAATGGCTGACAGTAGGTGGGGAAGGAGCTTATTCAAATGGAAGAAGGATGAATGAGAACGTTAATGAAATTGTGAAGAAGCACATGGGTGTGGGGGCTCGGAGATGAGGGAGTGGAGAGGACAGTTAGGGATAAAGAGGTAAGAAGGAGCAAGGTTATGGAGGGATTTGTATGAACTGGTAAGTCATATGAAGAGAGACCCCTGATGCATTGGAAGCCAATGAGGGGGCAAAGGGGAGAATGAATAGTGGGTGAGAATGGGGCAAGTAATAACCTCCCTTTCTGTTTGCTGGTTTGTGAGCTCAGGAAAACAAGTTCTTAAAAGGACACTCCAGACCCCTAAAGCACACTAGCTTGCTTAAAAGCCTTCTGTGTGAAATTTAGCAGAAAGTGCAGATTTCAATAGAAATTTACACTTTTATGAATTTACCTGGTTACAGTCCTCTGGCTGCCAATCGGTCCTGTTACTTCCTGGTTTGGTTAGCTTATTGGAGCTAAACTCAGGAGGAGTTACTCAGAGCACCTGCCTTTCAAAGACTGCTCATTGAGCTGCATTGGGAAGTCTGGACAGTTAAGAGCTGCACTGGACAGTTAAGGAAATCTGGGCGGGGTTAGAAGGCATAGGCGTGCGCAGCCTATTGCATTAGGGTGTGCACCCTAAAGCACAAACACACGCCGTGTGTATATGTATGTTTGTATATATATATAGACACATATATAAATATATATATACACACACACACATACACTGCTGTGTGTGTGTGTGTGCTCCGTGAGGGTGGTTTGAGGGTGTTGTGTGTGTAAGGGTGCTGTGTGTGTGTGTATTGTGTGTGCTGTGTGTGGGTGCTGTGTGTGTGTGTGTGTGGGGGGGGGGGATTCTTGTTCCTGCTGCTTTCCCTGGTGGTCCAGTGGAGAGTGAACTCTAGCCCCTGAGTGGCTAGAGTTCACTCTCGCGAGATCTGAGCGTTGCCGTGGCAATGCTCCGATCTCGCGAGTGGAACCTGGCGAAGCTGCTGGTTGAGCTCCCCGAGTCCTCTCTTGCCTCCCTCCATGCTGCAGTGGGGAGGGAGGCTGAGAGCAGAGCGTGCCGGCTCTGCATGGACCGACAGGGGAGATCCTGAGATCTCCCCTGCCAGTCTCACTCCATAGGCGTGCCGCGGGGATTAGGGTGTGCCCATGTTAGAAGGGGAGCACTGGCAAAGGTAGCAGATAAGAGAACTGCAGCTTTTGGAAGCTGTTTACAGATACAACCCCTAATGACAAAATGCATAATTAAATGCTTGTATGTTTTCATTGGGGTATATATAGTAAACGGTGATTTAAAAAATATATATATATTTTGTGTTTGGGCACTGGAGTGTCCCTTTAACATATGCTATGTCTGTATCTTAAAACGTGCTTTGTATGGTTCTTTTCATATGACTGCATGCTTATATAGTATAGTGCAGCTGAAAATGTGCAAAGATAAAGGTAAATTATGATAAAAAAATAAGTGCCTGAAATTGATATTTTAGGGTGTTCAAGAGTTTGGGCCATTCTTTGCTGATTATATGTTTTCTAAATGTGAAAAGTTGACCTCGGGCAGGGAGAGACTTACCAGGGAAAATTAAAAAATTTGCCTCTTGGGATGTACTGACTGTAAAAAAATCTACTCCTAAATGTAACTTTTACTAATATTATTGAGATCAAAATGATCTGACACCAGCGGGAGATGACTGTGAACACATCTGGATAATGTACTTTCCTCTGGTTCTGCTTCTACTTGGTTTAATGTTCCATACTCTACTCTGGCTTTTGCAAACCAAGCAAAACATTGCATTCTGGGTATGTAAACTTGCACCTTGCCTCGTTCCACGTCTATGCCCATCAGCCATCAATCCATTCTTCCTGACATATTGTATAAAGATACGCATCTGTACTAGATGTCTGCACCGTCTCGATTTTCTAGGATATACTAATCCCAAGGATTTTACACTCCTTCATCCAAAACAGCAGAGCACATTATTTCTACTAAATTAACTTTGTGAACACTAATGCAAATATCAGGAGAATTGTAAATCCGTCCACTGAGCACTGCTAGAATTAGCACCAACGGGTATATATCCGTATCCGTGGTATTCAAGGTAAAGTCTTGGTAAGTCCATACAGAAAAAAGTACAAAAAACTACAAACAAAATAATAAAAAAGGAAATATGACTAATTCAATAAATATAAACTCAAAATATGTATATATTATACAATGAACAACCAGTATTCTAATTTCAAAGCTGTACAATGTTTTGTTTATATTGGGAGTAACTGACAGGATATAACAGAGAACATAAGTGTATAGTATATGTTGACACAGAATCGGTACGGAACTCTTGGATGCATCTCAAGTCATCAAAAGATAGATACCTGCAAGATGGACAACTCCGGCACCCAGCTGACTCATATTCATACTGATTATGCTGACAGATAAAGAATAGACAATATGGGGTTTCTCATATGCATGACATCTCTATTCGTGTTTGTGGTTACTTCTATGACCAGACCGTATCTTTATGCGCCATAATTATTTGGTATATTTTCCCCAATCAATAATGATTGGGCTTCCTCTGTTTTACTTACTGAACACACCATCTACAACTAATTATTCCAATAATTACCACCACTCACCACTTACCATTCACCACTCCTTGTTAATATATAGGGACCAAATATAAGTCCTATATATTATTTTTTTTCCTAACAACTGATTCTTTGATGTCCACATGTAAAACACGGCCTCTGTCAGCCCAGAATTGTATATACATAGAACTGGCTCTAAGTTCTATGGAATTATATTCTTCTATTTAGGGATTGTAACGGCACCCCCAGGCATAAAAGGGTTAAACCGCCGTTTAGTAGATCTTCCCTTCCAGAGACTCAGACACAGCTACTGCAGAACACCAATCCGCCTGACAGGAAACCAAATGAATGTTGTAAACAGCCGAATAGGAAAAACCATACGAATAGGTTTACACTCCTAGCAGTCAAACTGGAACAGCATACAATAAATCCCCCCAAGAACGAGACAAAGCTCCGTGTTGAGGGTCAAGCAGTGAACAGACAGAGCTGTGGGTTTATTGTTCTTATATACACATTAATACCACCCACAGGGTTTTGGAACACAATCAATAAACACATACAATACACTCAGACACTCCCACACAAAATCCTCCCCTCTGCCTGTGATACAATTACCTTACACAATGGGTAATGTAATTATCACAAGCAGAGAAATACAATTTTTCCACATTATTCATAACTGGAAAAGTATGCATCATATTCACAAAAAAAACGTACATTTTCAGAATCAGCATACTCCAAATACAAACATACGTCAAAATCATACAAATTGGTCCAGTGGTTCAAAAGATAGATCGTAGTCCTTTGTGACCAAAGGAAGCATGGCTTTTCTGCCCAAAACCAGTTCCACAGAGTCTTCTATCCTGGAGATAATTGGGAAGTAATCAAATTATCTCCAAGGACAGAGGAAAAACTCCATTGAACATGTCAGCAAAAGACAATAAAACACATAAAAACATATAACTGTGCAGCCATTGCACAAAACAGGTACATTCAACTTAACATATAGTCTTTCATTATACGAATGGGCTCCATGGCATAGCTATCTGGGGTATCACCGCTCAAACAGGGCCAGCACCGAATGACCCGGCTTTCGTGTCTCTGCAGGGGAAAATCAAGCGTTTCAACATGGGGCCATAGTCTAAAGGCAGCAGGCGGGCAACCAGGCTTATACTTGATACCAGATTTCTGGTTTTCCAATGACAGGCTCAATTTAACATCTTTGTCGTACTCATCCTCTCACTGTTGCTCTCAATTAAGAGTTTGAGATTCTTGATTTATTCATCTTCTCATATAGTGAGTTTTTTTATTATGAGTGCAATCCTTGACAGATCTTATTTAATATCTGCATTATACCTTCCATATTACCCCAATTAAGGGCTGAGAGCATTTGGGTAGGTTAGCTTAGCATTCTTCCAGTCTATAATCACTTTCCAAAATGTTAGGCTAAAGTCCATTTCTTCACCAATTCTGTCCATACAGGGGGCTCAGTCTGTAGATACTGGATAAATAGTTTAATGGAGCTTCCTGTACCCCAGTTGGGTACCTCAACCGACGGATGCTCCTAGTGCTTACCCAGGGATCCAAGCACTTCTCTAGACACCATATGTACTGCAGACCCCACGAACTGCCGCAGCTTGGTTGGGGTCTTGCCGTCTCCTACCCACCCTGGACCTACGATAAGGCTCCAGTTTCCAGTGGGTGAACCTCTCTTCCTTCAGAGAGCGTAGCAGGAACAGCTCTTACAAGAGCTAGTGTTTATCCAAGGGAGTATGATGATCATAGCAATCCCTTGTAGTGATATAGCAATTCCCCCCAATAAGAGACAAGACTCTAGATTGAGGGTGAAGTAGAACTGGAGGTTTAATGGCACATACTGGTCTTTTATACAGTTTGCTCCACAAAGTTACCACCCAGAGGAACCTTGTGGGACACAGGACATGAAATTCACAATCCAATAAAAAGTTTTACACTTGAACACTCCCAGATACTGTACACAAACCCTCGCCTCTGTTTGGAAGATTATTATTATTATTATTATTATTGCCATTTATATAGCGCCAATAGTGATGTCCCGAACTGTTCGCCAAACTGTTCGCCGAACGGTTCGCGAACGATTCGCCTTCGCCACGAACGGTTAGCCACGAACGGTTCGCCACGTACTCGTCATTGAGTAAACTTTGACCCTGTACCTCACAGTCAGCAGACACATTCCAGCCAATCAGCAGCAGACCCTCCCTCCCAGACCCTCCCACCTCCTGGACAGCTCACTAAGAATGCAGCTTCACAATGGATGCTGTCCAGGAGGTGGGAGGGTCTGGGAGGGAGGGGCTGCTGCTGATTGGCAGGAATGTGTCTTTTGACTGTGAGGTACAGGGTCAAAGTTTACTCAATGATGAGTCCGCGGCGAACCGTTCGTGGCGAACCGTTCGTGGCGAACTGTTCGCAAACCGTTCGGCGAACAGTTCGGTACATCACTAAGCGCCAACAGATTCCGTAGCGCTTTACAATATTTTGAGAGGGGGGATGTAACAATAAATAGGACAATTAAAAGAAAACTTACAGAAACAAAAGGTTGAAGAGGACCCTGCTCAAACAAGCTTACAGACTATAGGAGGTGGGGTATTAGAAACATTAGGACAGGAAATATCAAGTAGGAGTGAAGCAGAGCTGGAGGAGAGAGCAAAGCACTGTCCCATAGGAGAGAGCAGGAGACAGGTATGTAAGGTAGAGATTACTCTGGGAGGCCATAAGCTTTCCTGAAGAGATGGGTTTTAAGGCCCTTCTTAAATGATTGAAGACTAGGGGAGAGTCTGATGGCAGTAGGCAAGCTATTCCATAGGAGAGGAGCCACCCGCGAGAGGTCCTGCAAGCGCGAGTTGGCCGTACGGGTGCGAGCAGCGGTCAGGAGGTGGTCACGGGCAGAGCGGAGGGTACGAGGAGGGGCATATCTATGGATTAGTGAAGAGATATAAGTGGGGCTAGAATTGTTCAGTGCTTTAAATGTATGGGTTAGCACTTTGAATTGACTCCTATAGCATACAGGGAGCCAATGTAAGGACTGGCAGAGGGGTGAGGTGTGAGAGGACCGACTAGAGAGGAAAATCAGTCTAGCTGCAGCATTCATTACAGATTGTAGTGGGGCAATACGGCTTTTGGGGAGACCAATCAGGAGAGGGTTACAGTAATCCATGCGGGAAATTACTAGAGCATGGACAAGCTCCTTGGTAGCATCTTGCGTAAGAAAGGGGTGGATGCGGGCTATGTTTTTGAGTTGGAACCTACAGGACTTGGCAACAAACTGGATGTGAGACTCAAAGGTGAGACCAGAGTCGAGTATGACGCCAAGACAGCGTGCTTGCAGGGATGGACTTGTGTGGATATCACTGACTTGAAGGGAGAGTGAGAGAGGATGATCAGTATTAGGAGGAGGAAAGACAAGGAGTTCAGTTTTAGAGAGGTTACGTTTCAGAAAGCGTGAGGACATCCAGTCAGGGATGGAAGAAATGCAAGCAGTGACACGTTGCCGGACGGCAGGGGAGAGGTCCGGGGAGGAGAGGTATATCTGAGTGTCATCAGCGTACAGGTGGTAGTGGAATCCAAAAGAGGCAATAAGTTTACCAAGAGAGGCAGTATAAAGAGAAAATAGAAGGGGACCAAGGACAGACCCGAGACAGGACGAGGGGAGGAGGTATCCTAGGAAAAGGAGACACTGAATGAGCATTGGGAGAGATAGGAGGAAAACCAAGAGAGGACCGAGTCACAGAGACCGAGCGATTGAAGAGTTTGAAGGAGGAGAGCATGATCAATGGTGTCAAAGGCAGCAGAGAGGTCAAGGAGAATTAATATGGAGTAGTGACCTTTGGATAATTGAGTTAATTAGTGTAGCAACTCAATTATGTCCAAATGAAAAATACAAGTTTTTACCCATTTTTGCAAACACCCCAAAAACATATGGGAACCTCATAAAATATATATCCCCTGATAGCCCTGATCTGGGGTGACAACATATTGAAAAATCACCCAGATCGGTTCAGTGGTTCAAGGGTTAGGTGGAAGTCTCTTTTGACCGACTGACTTTTCATACAGTCAAAATACATTAAAAGAGTCAAATGTAGCTGTTCGTAAACATGAACCTTGAGTGTAACTGGTTCGGTATATTGTATCTAACGAACGGCGCTCCGTTCGTGCAGTAACTGTGGAACAGAACGAGGAGTGGAAGTTTTAGCGGTGTTGGTGCCGTCGAGTGTCCGATTTTAGTTCAACACATTCGACGACAAAACACCGCTGTCCGCATTCGTATCCCAAGATGGCCGCCACCACATGTTTGTGCATACGAACGCCGACCACCCAGTTGATCACTTAGAATATTAGGGTGTTCGTGGTTTTTAGAGGTGTTAGTAAGGTCATTGTGGTTAACAAGCGCCACGCTTTAGGTCTAAGAGGTCTGTCATTAAAAGTTTAAAATTCAGGGACAGAGGGGCTGTCACAAATAGAGACACAAACTCAGATGACAACTCTTCAGCGAAAATATCCACCACACCACTGTAATCTTACTTGCTGATGGTGAAATGTGAGTACTCATTTAAATTAACTTTCTTTGTCAAACTATATTTTTTTATTTTGAAATCACCTATAATCCCATATCTTCTACTTTTTTTTTTTTCAATTTGTATTTTATTGGTGTTTTCACAGTTAAAATACATCTTGTTCACAACATGAGAGTAAATAGAAAATATGTATCAACTTTAGAACAGTATCAAGGTGACATGGTTTGCCCAATGGTGCTGTTTTGTACAAAACTGTAGAAGTAGAGAAAAATACACTCCTCAGTGATTTCCAGCTCATCCCCATCTTTACTGATCTGGTATTATATCTCGAGGTTATGCTAGTATTAAAGGGACTCTGTAGTGCCAAATCAGTGTCCTGCAGTGCCCTTCTTCCCCCCCCCCCCATTGCTAAAGGAGTTAAAACCCCTTCAGTGACTTACCAGAAACCAGGACGATGTCCCTCTGCGCTAGGTCAGGCTTTGCCCACGCTCTTCCCCCTCTTCCCTAATGCGCATGCGCGGCAATGGCTGCGCACACCATTAGACCTCCCTATAGGAAAGCATTATTCAATGCTTCCCTATTGAGATTCCGGCGATGCTGGAGGTCCTCATGTATAGCGTGAGGACGTCCAGCGTTGTTTAAAACACTTTTCGTGTTCTTAGAACATGGAAGTCCCTCCAGTGGCTGTCTGATAGACAGCAACTAGAGGAGTACTTAACCCTGCAAGGTAATTATTTCAGTTTTTAAAAACTGCAATAATTACACTTGCAGGGTTAAGGGTGGTGGGAGTTGGAACCCAGACCACTCCAATAGGCAGAAGTGGTCTGGGTGCCTGGAGTGTCCCTTTAATTGGAAAACATAGGTACTATGTGCTAGACAACAAATGAGATGTATACAGGTAGATACGTGACACTAAGTGATAACTATTGTCACTTTAACCTCAGGGGGTCTCTAGGTTTGTGGTGTGTCTACGAGAAATGTGGTTTAACTGGGAGTCGGGCCTGTGAGTTTAGAGGGTGAACTCTGAGAGGTCTTTGCGCACCTGTCCCTAACTTCTGGGCTCTAACTGGTGTTGGTGTATGTACATTCAGTCTCTGGAGGAAAGTCTCTTGATTCTCAGGAGAAGAGAGGGTGAGCATGTCATCTCCTTGTGGTACCAGTCAGGGCCGGTCTTTGGCCTTTAGGCGTCCTGTGCAAAAAATCTTCACATTTAATAATGATTTAGAAACAAATATTCATTCCTCCTTTCCTGTTGTTACCTAGTTGGGAGAGGGGCATGCTGATCTGGTCTGCCCCTCCACTGGGTACAGACCATGCGTAACTGTCTTGCAAACTCAGGGACTTGCAGTGTCCTCTGGTAATCTGCGGCAGCACTCTGATTATCCCGAGCTAGGAATAAGTGCCAGACTGCCTCCCCCACATTACAGAGGAGCAGACTAAGTATGTCACATAATACTGTGAGTGGTTTCACTTTGGAGCTCTGGATTATACTTATTTACCTTGATATTTTGTAGTAATGTGCTACTTCTCCATTTATCACAGAGCTCCACAACAATATAACTCCCAGTAATGTGGAGCTCTGTGATCATACACTACACAACAAGTAATGTGTCTATTAGTGTCTGGTTACAACTACTGTAAAGCGCTGCGGAATTTGTTGGCGCTATATAAATAATAAAACAATAATAATAATAGTGTATCACCGAGCTCCCTAACTATAAAACACAGAGTAATGTGCATTTTATATACCAGAGCTCCACTGTAATACATCTCACTATAATATCATGTAATGTTTGTGTTGTCTGTGTATATGATAGGTGTGATAACTGGGTTGTAATATGTATGCTATGTGTTGGCTGTATGTGATATTTGTAATGGGTGTATTAACGATGTGTGATATGCGTGTATTGGTTGTATGTGATATTTGTGCTAGGTTTATTGGCTGTGTGTGATGGGTATTTAATTCAGATAAAAACAAGACACATACACACACACAGGCAGACAGCCCCCACACACAATTACAGGCAGATATCCACACACACACACACACACACACACAGGCAGACAGTCCCCCCCCCACACAGGCAGACAGCCCCACACACAGCCACACATACAGTCTTACACACACATACTTACATGCAGACAGTCACACACACACACAACACACAGACACACACAGGCAGACAGTCACAGACACACACACACAGGCAGACAGTCACATAGACACACATAGGCAGACAGTCAAACACACAGACACACACACACAGGCAGACAGTCACACACACACAGTCACACACACACGCACAGTCACACACACACAGGCAGACAGTCACACACAGTCACACACACACACAGAGGCAGATAGTCATACACACAGACACACACACACACACACACACACACAGGCAGACAGTCACACACACACAGGCAGACAGTCACATAGACACACACAGGCAGACAATTACACATAGTTACCTCTATTCATTATGGATGAGTGGAGGCAGTGCAGCTCCTGGAACCTGCCCTACATGCTTCCCATGCTGTAGTTACCCGGCACTTTTAGCTCTGCCCCCGCCATCAGTTTAGCCCTGCCGCTGCCGCACGGTAAGCTCCGCCCCGCAATATTTTTTTTTTGTTTATATAATCCTGTGTCGGCCACATGGCGCCCCCTGCTCCCATGGTGCCCTGTGCGGCCGCACAGCTACAACAAGGCCGGCCCTGGTGCCAGTAGGGAGCCATCCACGCCCCATTGATACCTGATCTTCGCCCCTCTCAGCTGTCAGGCCACCGGTGTTAGCTGTCTCTTGAC